ACATGCTTGTGTATCCATTACCCAAAACAGGCTGTCGCCTTTCATCCTCTGGTACTGTGAGCTGGTGACACCTGTGGGAGCTAGTATCTGGTGGGAAGGATGCCTCCCTGTCCCTGATGGGGACAGCAGGTGATGGGGTGCTTGTTGTGCACACGATCATGCTATAGAGAAACAATTATCTGGTCAGTTTTAGATCTAACCATGCAGTTTGTCACTGTTCTGACAAGTTTAACACAAGGCCACCTTCTCTTTAAAGTAGGTGGCAGTAGGACTCTGAGTTTCTGTCTCTCAAGATTGGTGCATGGATCCAAATTTGATGGCCCATTAAGTTCCTTAACAGGGACTTTGATACCAAATACATTGGATTTATTTGGGGATGTGTTTGGGAACCTGAACTTAGATGGGGGTCATGATGAATAAACCAATTTTTTAAATTATGGTAAAGTACACATAAAGTTTGTGCTCTTCATTATTTTTAGATTGTATGCAGTGTATTGGCATAAGCACAGCATCCAGAGCTCTCTTCATCTGACACCTACTCCCCATGCCTTCAGGCCCTTGGCCACCACCATTCTTTTCTGTCCTTGGTTTTGGCTACTCTTGCTGTCTTGTATTAGTGGAACCTTTTGGTTTTTGATTGGCTTATTTAACTGAGCATAGTGTCCTTGTGATTCATCTGTGGTATTGTATGTCAGATTGTCCTGTTTCAAGGCTAAATTTCCTACTATGTGCACATATCACGTCTTCATTCCTGCTCATCTGTTGCTGGGCTTTGCTTTGCTGGCACATTTTGGCTGTAGTGAACAATGCTGCTGTGAACATGTGTGCGAATATTTCTTCTGTGTTTTTATATCTTTTGGATATGTACCCAGAAGTGGAATTGCTGCATCAGTTGTTTAGTGTGGTAATGCTAAAATAACATTTTTAAGAGATCATGTGTCTTCAGTGGTGCTCAGCTAACCTTGGTGGTTTGTGCCTGTATTCCCAGCAGTTTGGGAGGCTAAGGTAGAAGGATTGGGAGTTGGAGGCCAGCCTAAGCAACTTGGCAAGACCCTGTCACGAGACTGGGGGATGTGACTCAGTAGTTAAGTACCTTTGGGTTCAGTCCCCAGAACCAAAAATAATTAACAAATAAATTTTTTTTTTTTTAAAGAGAGAGGAGAGAGCGAGAGAGAAAGAATTTTTAATATTTAGTTTTTAGTTCTCGGCGGACACAACATCTTTGTTGGTATGTGGTGCTGAGGATCGAACCCGGGCTGCACGCATGCCAGGCGAGCGCGCTACCACATCCCCAGCCCAACAAATAAATTAATAAGTAAAAAGAAATGGTGTTCCACTTGGGTTTCAGGAGTGAAGCTGCTGCAGGGTAGTGCAGGGTACTTCATGTGGGCATGCTGAAATAGGATCGCGCACTTGGATGAGCATCTAGGCATCTGGCTTTATTACAAGGATGAGCCAAAGCAACCAACCAGTGCCTCAGGCAGGCTCTGAGCCATGGTGCTTCTGCTTCCTTGAGGGGCCCCTTTAGCAATTATTGGCAGAAAATGAGTTGTAGGAGTGCAAGTTAATCTTGTGCTACTTCTGTGAGGCCAAGTGCTGTGTGCTTTTGTCTGGTGGGGTACTTGGGTTGAAGCAATAGGCACTTCACTGCTTTTGTAACTGAGTTGTTGGAAGTGTGTGAGTGGTTTTTAAGGAGGCTGGAACAGGGGATTTGACAAGTGCATGAAATGGCTAACTTTCTCCTGGGAAGCTGTTTTCTTCCAGCAGCCAGATGGATGGAAATGTGTTGACCTAACATAGACTCTACCTAACCAGACTCTGCCCCTTTGAATTTGAGGTGCAGTTGAGGCTCTTGTCTAATCTGTGATCCCCAAGAATTTAGAAGCAACAAAGAACCCAGAAAACAGGGACCACATATATTTTAGGAAATGAGTGGGCTGGGATGTCCTGAAGGAGAAGCTGCATGTTAATGCCTGCAGAGAGTTGGTAGGGTTTTTTTTGTTGTTGTTTTTTCAAGTAATGATAAAGTAGATATAAACCAATGAGTTAAAATTGAGAGAGGCCCAGGCTTGTAAGTGTTGAACAACGGTGAGGCATCTGTTTTCTGTGACATGATTTAATGACAAATTCTGCTTTGCTTGGTAGCTGTCAAGATCAAGAAAAACAAGGATAATGTGAAGTTTAAAGTTCGATGCAGCAGGTACCTTTACACCTTGGTCATCACAGACAAGGAGAAGGCAGAGAAGCTGAAGCAGTCCCTGCCCCCAGGTGAGTTAGGCCGCCCACAGTGTGGGGGGTCTTGGCTTGCCCTTGTGTGGTTTGGGTGTCTGGGCTTGCTGCTGGTAGTGCGGGGAGGAGTCGCGATCTGCAGTTTGACCCAGTGCTGGAGTGGTGTCCTTGGGTAAAGGAAGTGCACGGCTCGCTCCTCACAGCCCTCCACACTGGCTGTTGTACTGACGCCCACTTTGCAGGGAGAACAATCAGTTAAATCTAATGGACCAAGTCTTGAGTGGAATGTTTTTATCAAATACTAGCTTGATTTTAACCCAAACCTTCTTTATGAGCTCCTAGGTGGAGTACAAAATCAGGACGGCAGTAACACAAAAATGACTTGATTTGGTTTGTCCTTCCCTCTAGGTTTGGCAGTGAAGGAACTGAAATGAATCAGACAGGCCGATTTGGACTACATTAAAGTGTTTAAAAAGCCTTAAGTGTCCTTTGTCTTTGAAGCTGGGGAAGAGGTGCTGCTGGTGGTGCCATCTGCTGGGGATGGGTGATGGATCCTGCTTGCCACCTCCTTGTCTCCCAAGTCTAGGGCTGGGATCTCAGTGGACAAATAAGGCCAGACTTCTATTTAGCCTGTTTGAGACATAGTAGAGGTAGGTAGGCTCAGCCTTGGGGGTAGGGCACCTGCCTAGCGTGTGCAAGGACCTGCGTCCCATCCCAAGCACCACAAGACAGGGCTATCGGGAAGCCCCCATGGGAAGAGGAGGAAGAGCCGGGCATCTGTGTGAGTCACCGTCTGCGTTTCTGGGACTTAGAGTAGATTAGGTAGAATGGGTTTCCTTCTGACTAAAGTGAAAGGCAAGTGTTGCTGAGCACAAAGGTAGCCTAAGATTTTTTTTCAGCATGACTTATGTGACAGAGTGGGATTGAAAGTGAGATGATTGCAGAAAAGAAGGACAGTTGAGATAGGGGCTCAGAATTATGCTAGCCTAGCATGAGACGGCAGGACTTGAAGTGAAGTCAAGCCCAGGTGACATTTCAGAGGAAGGAGTGGTTCTTGCAGAGGTCTGAGCTGGGCCCTCCAGCCTTGGAGAGAAGGGGGGACAGTGATGGGCTTTCGCTGATTTAGAAGGAGGTGAATCTGACCTGCGAGGGCCAGCCAGGCTCATTCCTTGGCTATTAGAACTTTGTCCTGCCACTTCTGACTTGCATGGTTTTGAGAAGTGACTACTTCCTGAAATGAAAGTAACCACATTGATACCTTTCCTTGTCACTGGCTTACTCAGTGAAATGGGCTAATGTGCACAAGTTTTTGAACTTCTGACACTTTATACTAGGAACATTGGGTCATGTTGAGGTGAGCCACAAGGTGGCGCCATACCACCACAAATGAACAGTAGCTGGTAGATCCTTCTTGAGATTATTTTCCATCTCCTTAAAAAGTGTATTTGGTATTGCACTTTAAGTGCTTAAGCAGGTTGTGACACCAGGCACCAGTCTTTGGGTCTCATGAATTCATTGAAAGGCGTGAGTTTTGTTTACTCCAGGAGAGGGTGGCACAGGGAGGCCCTGGGTTGTTGACAGACCCAGAGGTGGCTCTGTCAGCAGCTTTCGGTCTTTCCCATTCTTTTAACATTTAGGATTCCCAAGGGGGAGTGAGTTACCACTTAGGCTTTCTTTGTCCCCAGCACATTATCCAGAAACTTGTCCCAGCTCCTAGGAGATGAACCCTGCAGGGATTTATCCGGCCGCCTGGTCCAGAGAAGGCACCCTTTCATGCGGCACTTCCTACCCTGGCTTGTGCTATGGTCACTTGGGGTGCTTCACCCAAGTGACCAGGGTTAACTCCAGCCAGGGTTGCCACTGCTTTGTGAGGCTGTGGCTAATGGCTGTTGGAAGCTGCTGCAGTGGCCATCCCCCAGGGAGAGCCTGCCGCTCACCTACCCAGTGCCCTATACCCTACCCGTCCTCTACCAGCTTCCTCTTGACCCGGGCCCTACTCTGGGGCTCCCCTGGTGAACACCAGGACTTGAGTGGAAGATGGACGCCTCCTGTTTGTCATCCATGGTTTGCCTCCTTCCCTAAGGCCCTACAGTGATCACAGCTGGGGCTTTATTTTTTCCAAGAAGAAGGACATCTTTTGACATTCAGGGTGCTGAGCAGCTTTAGCCGTGGGTGCCATTGGACTGGAGAAGGAGGACAGGTGGGAAGGTATACCAGGCACCCAGCAGTGTCTCTGCCAGGTTGCAGGGGACATGGTGGCTGCATAATCGTGTCCACATTGAGGGAGTTCCCATGGAGGGCGAGCTATAAAATGCCCCTAGGAACTTGCTTCGCATCCATCTTTCTCAGCAACCAGCCACGGCTGTGGGGCTGTGTGTGACCTGGCCCTTGCTGTCAGCTTCTTTTCCTTTTGTCTTATATTAAATATAAGTACTTATTTTCTGGTGGGGTTTTTGTTTTGTTTTTTAATTTTCAGGCATAATTTACAAACAGTGAGATTCACCCTTTTGAGTCTAGTTCCATGAATTTTGATAAACCTTTATGGTTGTGTGATCACTACTCAAGCACCCTGGAAGTCCCCAGGCCCTGGCAAGCAGCCACAGGTGTGATCAGAGCCCTGTCCCTGCAGTCCCCAGCATCCACTGTGGGTTTCACTTGCCTGATGTCCCCTCTTAAGCCCCACCTATCCTGGTCCCTGACCTCAGGGTCCCATTCTTGCCACTCAGAAGCCTCCCAAGGACACCCCAGTTAACTCATACACCCACTTCTCCCACTCTGGCTCTGCAAGAAGCCTCCCAGCAGCAACTCCGTCCTGCCTCCTCATCCCAACACTGGCTCTTCAAACCCGCCTCGCCGCCCTCTAGACTAAACACCATGTAGACCGGATGTGTGTGTTTTATTAATCACTAGAACCCCTAGAACAAAGAAGGTGTCCTACAAAATGTGCAGCACTCATGAAAGAAACCCCTAGGAGAGAACAAAGGGTTCCCCAGCCTCCTGCTCCCCTCTGGCCTCAGCTGTGAGCATGTGTAGGGAAGATGGCAGCCGCCAGGCTCCAGCTGGCCCAGAGGAGAGGCCCCAGGGGCAGGGCAGGACAGGGCTTGCTCTTTTGGCCCCAGGATCTTTGATAGAACAGGCAGTGGCTGTACGCTGGCCCCACTAGCACTCATGCAGGCCCCAAGATGGAAACCTGGGAGTCCCTCGTTCCCTTGAGTCCCCTTTCTCAACCATGTGGCTAACCACCCTCAGGCTGGCTGCCCTGAGCTCCCTCCCACCAAGCCCCAGCCCAGCACAACCCTTTTCACCACCCACGACCTCTACAAGCCCTTCCCTGCCCTTCACCTGCCTCCAGCCCAGCTCAACCATATTCTCTGCCTACTGGAGGAAACCTAAACCCCTGCTGGATCAAGAAGACCCCTGGGTGGAGGAGGGGCCGTAAGGCCTCCCTCACTCCACTGCTCCCAGACTTGCTCACCAAGCCGTTTGTACTTGTAGGCTGGGTGCTCTTTAAGTGTGCAAAGGCGTGAGGACCAAGGGCCCACAGGGCTTTGCTGAGGGTGGCTGCCCCACCCTGTTCCAGTTTCCCCCCAAGCACCTTTTAAGACACGTCTTCCTGTGCATACTGTAGTCCACCCAGAAGGACACGCGGCAATGGCTTCCCGCTGCTTTGCTCACTGATGGAGCCATGCCTGGCACCTGGTACGTCTAAGTGCTGCCCGATGCGCTTCATCCCTCCCTGGGCTCCCACGGCCCCTTCCCTTCCCTCTAGACAGCCCAACGTTCCCCTGCTCTGGGAAGCCGGCCTGACCCTCCTGCTAGGAGGAATCAAAACTTCTCAGACACCTCTACCTCACTCAGGGCCTGCTGCTCGGGCAGGCAGTGCGGAGCTGGAGGGCAGGGACCGAGTCATTTCTCCGAGTGGACATGGTTTACACTACAGATGGGCCAATATATGGTTGAGAGTGAATTTAAAACAAGTGACCCAGGGCAGGTCCTTTTGCCCCCAGTAGCAGTTTTCCCACCCGGATAAGCCCTTGGGCCCGCCAGCCAGCTCTCGAGCTGTGACTTGGAGCTGCACTGCACAGCTCACACTGATTCGATGTTAAGTCATTAGTAAGAGACGTGGAGACCGAGACTGAAACGCACTTCTTCCACCTCTTGCACCGTCGGGGCAAGAAGATGCCAGCCCAGAAGGGCACAGCAGGCTTTTGGGCTCCCCAGGATTGAGC